GGTGATGGTGGTATTGGTGGTATTGGTGGCACTGGTGGTGTTGGTGGTATTGGTGGTGGTGGTGGTGGTGGTGGTGGTGGCGGTGGCGGTGGCGGCGGCGGCGGCGGCGGTGGCGGTGGTGGTGGTGTCGGTCTTGGTCTTGGTCCTGGTCCTAGTGCTGGCCCTGCTCTTGGTCTTGGTCTGGGTCTTGGTCGTGGTCTTGGTGCTGTTGTTCTTGCCGTTGCTGTTGCTGCTCATTTGCGCCCTCTCACATGTGGTCGGAAGGCTTAGAGAGGGCCGTGAGAGTATGCCAGAATCAGGGCTTATGTCGAGGGTCGCCATGCTTGCATGTTGCTGGGGTAGTTGCCTTTGTGATTGTTCTGTGCAACTTCTCAGACCTCCTTGTCACTGTGTCAACAGGGGGCCAAGTTCTGAAACTGCGGCAAGGGGTTTCGGCATGACAACCATGCAAGTTCAAGAACTCTCAGAGTGCCTGGGGCCAGCACCCAAGCAATGCTGTACTAATCAAAGCCATGCTGGCACGGAAGTTGATGACGAGCCTGTCCGACGATCCGAATTGCCAGCTTGCTGCAGGGCGCCACGCCGGGGCAAAGTGGAGCCGGGCTGACGCTGCCAACATAAGTTTCTGTACAAAGACGAGCGCCTCGTGTGCATCAAGACAAAAGCCAACAAAATGCAGAGAAATTGCCAATGCATCTCGCACCACAACAACTGGAGACGGAAGCCTGCCAGTCCAGCAATTGACGAAGGAAAATCTTGAAGTCGGGCGGATCGCCATAATGCCCACACCTAAGGCAGCAGCAACATATTTCCCACGGCTGCTTGCTGAATCACGCTTAAGAGGCGCTGCGGCTCCTTCTGTTCTGCCTATTGTGGTACACTTCTTTCAGTCTTAGCTCTTCTTCGCATCTTAGGGGCTTCACAGCATCCTTCGCTTCTCCAAGCCGTCTACTGGTTATCACTGGTCATGAAACCACCAACGCCTCGACAAGATCATCTTCCGGATTCGAAACCAAAGCCCTCTCAGTTTCGCAACACCGAAGCTCTGGAATCATGCTGGATGCGCCCGAACAGCTCAAGATGGTAGTTCTATGCACGTCCATCCTTTTCTCGCCTGAGGGATCAGCCTTGCAAGCTCTGGCCGCGCAACCAACTTGCTGCGGTAAACGCATTGCCTTGCAACACGGGGTATTCTCGGTGTTCTGCAAGCGTGCAGTCTGTATGCAGTCGAGCAGCAGCAGCCGCAGCAGCAGGAACATGATGCCAACCCCTGCGTACATCGAAGCGGATGCACAGCTTTAGGGATCAGGCCCGATGGAGAGAAATGAAAAAATCAAGCTGCCGGCCCAAGGTGCAATCCAAGGACATGTTAATCCAGTACCTGAACGATGCAAGACTGACTGGACTCGGCGACGAGTAGAGCAACCCGGAGCACCAGTTGCAGGGATCGGCATCTACAGACAGCCATTCGCCGAACCCCTGACTCAGAGCATGAGCTAAGTTTACTTCTGTTAAACATGTTACAGGCTACTGCACGCAAGAGACTTGAACTCGAACATGCGGCCGGCCATAGAGAGTCCGATGTTGATGATGTGGTTCATCAGGGCCTGCCACACGGCCAGCTGCAGCAGCACAAAAGCAGCTTGACTCTCCAATTGACACGCAAAGCGGACTCAGACAGAAACTTGTTGTTTATCCTTTGGGTGCATGACTTGGTCAGACTCAACGACTGCACTTCAGCAGGATCGGCAACCCGAAAGCGCCTGCCTGTGTTCCTTGCTTTGCAGTATCAAAGAACCAGACCTGCACGAGTCTGAGGAAATGCCAGATGCCAGTGGTGCCTGGACCACCGTCCCATGCCCAGCAAATCTTCAGACCGGGACTACAGACTGGGGCTGGTAATCACGTGTACTCCCGTCGCCTTCCAGGGTCTTCTCACCTTGTCCGTGAACCTTTTCATGCCAAGCTCTGGTCAGCAAGAGACTCCAGGAAGCAGTCCGCGCACCTCTTGCCCACCAAAGATACAAGACCTTATGCTCGAAAGGAAGCAACAGCAGCAGTTCAGAGCTGCAGTGTTGTTTTGCACACGGGCTACAACTGAGCAGCAGGCAGACACACCCCAGAAAGACTTGCAGCCACCATCCGAAGGAACCCCACCTTAGCTTCGAAGTCTCATACTACAGCAAGTGGAATATACAAACCGGAAACTTTGCCATGCACTAAGAGTCAAGCTTGCCCAGCAGCTCGCATTCCAACCCTGAGGCTGCCTGCCAGAGAAGTAGTTGATTTCAGACCGGAGCCCCAAACGGGCAGGCCCTAGGGCCCGAGTAGGACCAGTCCGATGCTCCCAAGACCACCCCTTGAATCCCAAGAGTGCAGACTCAGTGCAGACAGTGCGGGAGCACGATTGCCACCCAGAACTGCCGCACCCAAAATACGCAGGCCTCTGCGGCAGGAGCAGGATTTGGGGAGGTGGAGACATGCAAGAGACTGTCACGGGTGGGCGAGTCGTGTCCCAAAATACGCAGGCACCACAGTGACGACAGCACGATATCGAATTTCGCCCATTTGCAGAACCCCTTGAAACGGCGAAATTTCGAGACCCACAGATAGCCGAATAGAAAGCACTTCGCGCCCAGCCCGGAACAGCGGAAAGAGGGCGAATTCAGTCAAGAATGCGTGCCACGCCAGTGGGGCTCGCGCCATCAACTAGCAGATTCAGATCCCTTTTACTCCAAACGGAAAAGCCCATCCGATGATTCAGCCCATCCTGCGAAACCGTTCCTTGGATAACAGTGCTGTTGTGAAGCAAAAATTTGCCGATTCAACAACTCTCAAGAAGCCGAGGAATACACCGTGCTGTCGTGTATATATCAAGAGAAGCTCAGGTTCCAGGTAAGGATTATGATTGTGTGTGGTGGTGAAGGTTGAACGTCCTAGAAACACCAGACTTGCAAGGGCACGAGATTCAAACGAGGTTCACAGGAGGGTGAAAGGGTGTCATTGACCTGATGTTCCAGAACTGGCATGCCAAAGCATAACAATGAAATGCGGAGTTGAACAAGACCGGAACCCAAACTGCAGAAACTACTTTGACAGAGGCTTTATGATGTACGAAGCATACGATTCACAGCTTGTAAGACAGCTACATTTCCACAGATTGTGCATGCGACCTAGGAAATTACGGTTTCTCGCATGGTTGTTTCTTTCGTCATCTACTTCTGCCTGGCAAAGGCATTCCGAAACGAACATGCAGACTCAAAAGCGCACAAATGTCATTCCTTAGTGACTCGAAAAGCTGAAGCTGTTTCCCACTGTTTTGCTAGGCTTCCTCGGCAACTACCGAACACCTAGAAATACCTAGAAAACACAAGAAGCTCGCTCAACCGAGAAACACTAGAAACTCCAGAGATCTAGAAAACCATATTGAGCAAGCATGTGTTGGCCATGTCGTTGTCATTCCATTCATTCTTACAGGAGAAATGCGAAGAGTGACACTTCCTTGAAAACGGCTAGCTGTTTTCCATAGCTTCAAGCTTAGAATGTAGTTGCATGCGAAGAAATTCACGTTTGCCATCCCACTTTGCGGCGGATTGCTCCGTTTGACACGGAGGCTCTCGGAGAGCTCTCGGAGCTCCACGCAGGCCAAATCTTGACGGAGGCACTCGTCCTGTGCCTCAAGATCTTCCTGTGCCACCATCATGGCTCTCGCGTGCAAGGGCTCGATGTGCAGCTGATCTCCGTGCAAGGATGGTTCATCGATCTTCCGGTGCTTCAAGGACTGATACCCCTGTACAGTATCGGCTCATGCTCACTTTGCGTCATCGAAGTAGCCTCGTCTATGCATTGCCTACTGTTGCGTGATGTTGCGTGGCAGGCTCGAGTGTCCGCACAGTTCAGATTGATATCATGTTGGGAGTTAGGCAAAGCTAACGAAGCGGGCGACACATCGGATAAGAAGCAACAAAGACGTAAACAACCCACATCCCCGCGGCGGTCCCCGGAGCCACCGGAACCGGCACAGGCGACTTTTGCCCTCGCAGAACGAGTCCCTGGCCGAAGCAGCTATGTACTTGGCCGGCTGTTTCTGAG